GTTTTGAGAAAAAAAAAAAGCAAATATTCAAATTTAAAAACTTATTATTCAAAAAATAAAAATAATTATTTTATTATTTTTATTTATTCAAATAATTATGTATATTAGAAATTAAATGTAGGGTGCTCTTTTACCTATTTAATGAAACATTTTCGGGTCATTTGTTTTTTGAGGGCTGTTTTGGTGAATAAAATATATTGTAGAGCCATTTGAGAGAATTATCCTTTTTTTAAACTCTTTTTTAAACAATTTTAGATGTGAATTATCCTATTTATAATTTATATATATATATATATATCAATTTTTATCTTTTTACTGAAATTATGTGTCATTTAATTATATATATTAAATTATATATTTAATTTAAACTATTACTCTTTAAAAAAATTATATATTCTTTTGGATATAAAACATAAGTTGTAGATATTATCAAATAAAATATTATAGTATATGAAATTATTTTCAGACTTCTGTATTCTATATACAAATGCTTTAAACAAGTCCATATAAAAGTATTAAGCAAATAAAGAGTAGTTGCATTTTTAAACGTTTTCCCAATACTATTTGATTAGATAATGTTTTTGCAAATGTTTTGTCAATAAAGGCTTAGAATAACTTATTTGTTTGAATGTACCAAAATAAATTTTCCAACAACAAAAATAAAACTAATCACCTACCTTTTTTGGTTAATATTTAAAAGTAATAGTTTATGCTTGAGTCAGTTACTGTATCATAACCCAAATTTAGATCCACATTGTACATGTTGATATAAAGTCTATTTATAGCTATATGTTGGTTTGATATATCCTTTCGTCTGGCAAAATGAATTTAAAAGTTACAAACCATTCGGATGATGCAACTACACACTAGTCTACATATTGATTACAAAACATACAAACGTTTATCGGAGTGATATTGTCTCTTGTGTAATTCAAAACTTGAAAAACTAAGCAGTTGAAACCGAGGTTTGCAAGGATTGATGCGTAGGTGGTTCAAATCTCATGCTACATAGGTTTTGGTATTTGATCTCATTTTTGGTACTTGGTATTAGGCATGTACATATATTCTTCCTACTATGATGAATAAATTTGAAATTTCATTAAAAAAAAAAAAAGCTGTTGATGATGACCCCCACTGAAGAAAAAATAATCAAGATTGATGATATTTTTATTTTAGGAACAACTGCAGAATATACACCACCAACATGTATACTTTGTGTAGTCTTAAAATATGCAACTCCTTACCTGTATTAACAAACTAGTTTACTAGTAGGATATTGAATTTTAAATGATTTACTTTTTGATAAAAAAATATATTTAATTATTTAAGATTAAAGTTACTGGAAATTTTATGATTTATTATTGAAAATTTCAAAAGAGTACTTGGAACCATGTATTTAAGTTGTTATTTGTAAATGTCCTAAAATGGTTAAAAGGTCAGATTAATTATCAGCTGAAAAGTCCAAACATTTGACTTTTAAGCTTGAGGCGAAGAGAATTTCTAAAATACCAAGAAGGTAACTTGAGACGCAAGGATTCTAACAGCTAGCTAAGTTGTTGAACGTACAAGTGTCTGCTATTTTAATCTCTAGACTCATACATAACCTTCGTCCTCAATAGATTGTTCTTCGTTCTCTATCAGATGGGACAAGTTTATTCAACCATTATGGGATGGGGACTTGGTCCTGACTGGACTGATTTGACTCGGGAATGTCTCCTCGACATCTTCTCACGGCTAAGCCTAGAACAAAGATGCCTCGGACCGTTGTTCGTCTGCAAGACTTGGATGAACGTATGCAAAGACCCGTCGCTCAACTCGGTCTTTGATCTTGAAAACGAATTCCAGTCTCTCCCCAATTCAATGAGCTGGTGGTGGTGTCCGGAGTTCGGAGACAAAATTGATTCTCTCCTCCGGTCTGTTGTCGATTGGAGCCAAGGCGGCCTAACGGAGATTCGAGTCAGGCATTGTACAAATCACTCTATCTCGTACGTAGCAGAGAGGTATAGCCTTCCATAGAAGATACTAATCTAATTAGGTGTAACCTTTTTTTAATATCTAAAGGTTTTGAGTCCAAAAAAAACTTTATTCACTAAACTTAAAAAAACTTGTTGGCAATTATTTTTAACGTTTAAGTTTGATTAAGAATAATAATCACTTACCGAACTCCATGTTAAATGCTTTATATTTTTATAGGTGTCCTAATCTGGAGGTACTTTGGGTTAAGTATTGCCCAAAGGTTACAGATGAATCGATGTTGAACATAGCGTTGATGTGTCCTAAGCTCAAGGAACTTGATATAAGCTGCTCCTACGAGATATCTTGTGCATGTGTGGAAATGATAGGTGAAAATTGCAAGAATATTGAGACTTTTAAACGGAACTGGATGGATCTTGACGAGGTCTGGAGGTTGGAGCGCATTAAATTCGTGCCTCTTAACTATCTACGGGATCCATCTATTGTCTTGATATTTGGGAATGTTGATGCTCGTGTAATTGGGAAACACATGCATCAGCTGAAGCATTTGGAACTTCGATTCTCCACATTGTCTGATAAAGGTCTTGCGCAACTTTGTAAAGGTTGTTTGAATCTAGAGTATCTGGACTTGTTTGGGTGTAGGAAGTTGACTAGCGATGGTGTTACTAATAGTATCTCCATCTTAAAGCATTTGAAGGAGATCAAGAAACCAAACTTCCCAGCCCTTATTATCTAATTTAGTTCATATAGTTTGTGTACTAATTTTCTTGTTGTTCTTTTGTACTTTTTTTGTTACTTTTTGTGATTGGTTTTTACTTTTTAGTGTGGTAACATAACCTCTTTTATTTCTTTTATGTAAATATTTACAATAAGTTATTATTATTATAATGATCAGGTACTCTCTTAACCATTTCAACCACTAATGTTGTTCTTATGATGAAGTTTTAAATATATGATTTGACATTTTTTTTGTTTTTTATTTTTTTGGTTAAAAGCCAGCTCTTCAATAAAAGTTTTAAAAAACAGTTCTTAATTTTCTTTAGTTAATAAAAATCTCCCATTTTAAGAATCCTGTAATAAAATTGGCCTTAATATACGTTGAGATGAAAATAAAAGGAGTGGGTGAAAGGTATAACAGAATCTGAAAATAAAAGGAGTGGGTGAAAGGTAACAGAATCCGTACAATCTTATATAAATATCTAGTAACTGTAAACGTGGCTTGTTCTCTCACTCTCTATTGGTTCTCTGTGCCGGCAACAACTAATCCGTGTTCTGTCTTGAAAGATCTTTTCTGTTACTTCCATTATAAGATCAAAAGCCATATAGTTTCTTCTACATCTACCAAGAAAATGCCTAGCAAGTGTGCAATCTTCTGCGAGATCTTGATCGCTATCCTTCTCCCTCCTTTGGGAGTTTGCCTCAGGCGTGGATGTTGCACTGTAAGCTCTCTCTATATCCTCAACTCTGACTAATGAAGTGGTTAATGGAGTTTGTAACATTAAACTCTGGTTTGTTGCAGATTGAGTTCTTCATATGCCTGGTTCTGACTATCTTAGGATACGTCCCTGGCATAATATATGCACTTTACGTGATTGTGTTCCAGAACAGAGATGAGTATTTCGATGAAGCCAGACGCCCTCTCTACTACTCAGCTTGATATTTGTCTTTTGTGTCAGAATAATCTGTTTGTTCTTTGAAACTCTTCACCAAATCTTTGTACCTAATAAGTTGCTTTGTAATGTGTTTGCTTGTGTATTGAAGAGATTTTTAACAGCGTGTGTTTGATACATTTGTTTTTATCTTTTTGATATATCTATGCAAGATTGAAGGTGAGATTGATTTTTACTTGTTAGCTTATTGTATTCAGGTTACTAGGCCTACTTAAATATCGATGTATCAGGTTCTTTGTTAGGATTGTAAGTTTCTGCTTTAGAAACCTGGTCATGTTTTTCATCCTACTTCATGTGACTTTTGTATACGTACCAACCTATTGTAAATTATGTTACATACATAATTAGATTTCTTTGAGAGATAAGTAAAAAAAAACCTTCCAAACTGATTCTACAAAGTGAGCAGAACTTTTCATATCCTTATGAAACATACAAAGTGGTCGCCATGTTGTGGAAGTCTCCAAGAGGTCAACGTTTGAGCTTTGTTTTCTTGATTTTCAGATGGCAAAGAGTGAGAGAGTAATCTCTATAAATGCCCTAAGTCTGATCGAGAAAGTCGGTTAAGACTCGTACTGTACGAACAATTGGGTCGGATCCCTTCTAGTGGTATCGGATTGACGCCGGTTCTAAGAGCATCTCCAATGTAGAACTCCATTTTTTCCTCCAAAAGGAAATAAAATGAATTATGAAATAAAAATTTTTTAATTCCACTATATTTCTAATTCTATAATGGAGTAATGAACAAACAAAAAATAGATTACTCTATTTATAGAGTAAATCTTATTATAGAGTAATGAAGTGAAATTGAAGCATCTTTTACTGCATAATCACTTTTATTCCATTTTAAAGTCGAAAATAGAGTTGGATTGAAGAGGTTTTAAAACAGTCTATGTATATACATTGACACTTTAATAAAATGACTGAATGAGCTACCTATATATCATCTATTCGCAAAGAAACTGAATAATTAGTCTTTAGCAACTGCATGTAGTTGTCCACCAGCTATTTTGATTTTTATTTTCTAGACTATATGACTGTTCAAGTAAATATTATGCAATGCAGAATATTTGGGATAAACTACTCGTTGGTATGGACTAATGGGGTTTGGATCTTTCATATTCTTATGTGACCTCGAAGTGATAAAAACAGCTAAAATTAACAACAACCACATTAATATACAACCAGAGAAAACAAGTTTCAAATTATAGAGAGTTACAAACTCAATCTTTTTCCCCCAAAAGTAAAACAAACAGCCACAAATACAAACTCAATCAAACATGTAAATTCAAACCATTTGACAAGAAAAACAAAGATAATTAAAACCACAAGCCGCAACCTAATATATTGGTAAATTAATTAGAATGCAGCGAGCAGTAAAACAAAGGAAGTTACAACAGTAGATAGATAAGTAAGTGGGCTTGAGAGAAGAGTCTTAGTAGCCGAATTCTTCTTCTTCTTCTTCTTGGATTTCTTCACGAAAGCTCGAATATGGTCATGGTGGTGATGACCATGAGACGATCCTTCGGGGTACTCTTCATGTTCAACTAGTCCCCGACCCATAGGTCTGATCGTGGATCCTCTTTTTTTGCATGAAATGATATTGGATTGAGAAAGTAGCAAGACGGAGACGATCAAGAACAAAGAAAGAAGAGAAGATATTCTCATCTTTTTTTTTTTTTTTTAATCTTCTTTGATTAGGTTTAAATTGAGAAAAATATTTATCTGGTTTTTGAGCTTATGAGTGTTGTATATATTTATAGATTTGTGAGAAAAGTGGTAGGGTCTCACTTTCTACTTCGTGCACACAACCAAAAGTTTTAGAGAACTCTTCACAACAAGGCATTGATCAGGTTAAGACAGCTCATGTGTGTGTGTTTTGTTTGAAATTTTCTTACGCCCAAAGAGACATTTTTTGTCACGTTCAATATCTTATTGGTTATATAACTTTGGTCAATGAATCACAAACTCACATTTTCTGTTGTTTAACATCGTATATGTAATAATGAAAAATACCATAAATTATGCCAACCGAAGTAGGAGGAAGAGAACAATTCTCTTTGACTTTGCTAGAATACGGTACCAAGAAATTAAATAAATATATATTGCGCGACACTTTGTCTTTCTTAGTAAAATACAACATACTTTTCAAAATTAACAAAACCAAAAACTATATTGTTTCATGCTTGCTTATTAATTATACTAGTTGCATATTCCCCGCGCAAACGCAGGGCCGGGATCATTATGTTTGCGTGTACTTTTTTGATTGTTGGTTTATTGGATTCTTCTAATGACACCAATTAATAATGAAATAGAAAATTTCATGTTTTTATATCGTATGTCAAAACTTGATATAATTCTATATTTATAGTATTTATATTTGTATTAAACGATTTATCAATTTGAAAATAACCTTAATTAAGTTAATATTCGTTGTTTAAGTTTCATTAGATAGATTTTTATATATGATTTTTTGTAAGTTTCGGTTTTGTTTATAAATGATGTGACATTTTTATCTACGGAGTCATCGACTGTGGGAATTCATTCGCCGAAATCTGGAGTCGGTGGTGAGAAATGTTTTCAATGAAATTATAGTAGTTATTAAAATGTAAGAGAAATTACATATTCATTTAATAAATAACTTACTTAAATTTTGTTGTTTATTTTATTTTATTTCACATACAATTTTTTTTGAAAAATATTAGG